TCACTCTAACAGGCAGTGCAAGAGCCAAGATTTTAGTGTAAATAAGGTTAAATTGGTATGAGAAGAATATATACACAGGCAGTTCAGAGTTACATCGATCACAAGGAAGGCGTTCATGGCCGCAGTTCTTTGTTTAATTCGGGGGAAAAAACACGTCTCGATCTCCCAGCATTAAAGTTCTGATGTTTATTCATTCGCAACTGCACAGCTCATTGCTTAGGTAACTTAAATTAACTAGTGTGATGTTACTGCACAGGAATGTGTTGGAGGTTGTGTAGGCAAATCCAAAGCCTTATGTGCACAATGAGTCGTGAGCCGTTTCATTACCTTGTGCTTATTTTTTTAGATTGTACCATCCAATGGAGCATCCCAGACATTAGGTTGGTATAGCCTTGTGGTAGTTACAGTCTTTCCTCCTGTTAAAATTATTTAATCTATCAGTGTGTCGTCCAAGAATATCACCATGGAAAGGTAGCAAACCCATAAAAGTAATCTGAAAATAAATGTTAATAGTTACCTCAAGACGGGCATTACAAGAACTGGGACTACGAGATCAATACATAAAACTTACTTTAATCCTATAACAAGCTGATCTGTAATGTTGCTCTTAAGTAATGAAAAACATTAGCAGCATGTGAAGTTAAAGTCTTTAGTGCACTGAATGGCCTCTGTTAATGGCTGTCTAAATTGCCTATGCAGTGGTTCTAAATGTATTTAAAAAATTCTCTGCATGCGTAATTGAAAGCACTTTGCAATTCTACACTAAATCACTTACTATTTCAATATCTGTCTTAATGTTGCCAATTAAATATTTATTTATTCTACATTTGGTTCTAGACTGCATTTAAATCCAGTATGCTTTCTTCAGACAGTGTCCTTTCCCAAAGGTGAAGTACATGTACTGTAGCTTGGAAAAAGGCAAAGAAATTAACCTAGTGTCTGAAACCACTTGTAATGTGTATATATATATACCTGTATTTTCTTATTTTAGGCACTTTAAAAATATAATTTAATGTACTAAATCAAAGTGCTATTAAATACATGGTTTGTAAGATAGTTAAATGTCATCTCAAAGAAACTTACTGTTAGTGTTTCAGGCATCATATTGCTAGCAGTTTATATCTTGCTGCTTAATTTAGAAAAATCAGGCTTCCACACTGATTTGAGATTGTTCTTTGTCATTTATGTTGATTACGCAGAATCTTCAGGTAGCAGAATAGAGGCCCAAATTGTATAGTTTTATTTTTTTCTGATGGTGGCTTTGATGAAGATGAAGTAAACAAAAGAATTTTGGAGGCGTTTGCTGGTTGAAAGCTTTATTGCATTACGCAAATACAAAATTAAACTACCAAAACTCAGCATACCTTCTTTACAGAAGTGATTGCATAAAATTTAGAAAGCAGGTTTGAGAATAAAAATAGACAAGTGTACTGAAGTAAATCTGTTACGTGGTACTTGAATATCCATGTTAGGATTGAGAGCTGTTGGAAATGTAAATGACTGTGTCTCAGGTAAATGGGGACGAATAAGTTTAATATCCATGTTTGAATGGGTTTTACAAAGCACAAAACATGGAAGTGACAACTGTATATCTAAGCCACATTTTCTGAATTTAGCTCAAATCCCATTTCCTGTGAGAGAGATTTTTTCAGTATGTGCGTGAATTAAGACTAAGTCATTGTTTCATCATCCATCTCCATCATGAAGCGGTTGTAGAAAGAGGCACTCAATGAGTTACAGATGGTCTAGTTTGTTGTCATTTTCAAAGGTTTCTGCGCTTAGGTTCCTTGTCCTGGTCTGACTTCAGACACGTGAACCAAACTCCTGACATGCCCAGCTGAAGAAACATATTTGCTCTGAGACTACTCAGCGCTTTGAAAACCAGGGAGTCCTATTGTACAGTATAAGGAGGATTTTGAGTGCTGGATCTGGCCCCGGGAAATTAAGTTTCTCCTCTGCCACTGTAGCCCGTACTGAAATCCTGTGGTGTGGGTGAGTGGTAGGGATTGTTTTGCTTTGCCGTCCTGGCGCCGCCTATCTTTTCCTTGAAAGCATAGGTATCTGTGGAAGCAGAACTAGGGCAAGGGAAGTGGCTTGATGTGCGCACAGCAGATTATGACTGCAGTATCTGTCAGCCCTCTCCCATGTGTTTTGGATCTGGTGCGTTGCCGTCCTTCTGTAACAGTTCAGCACAAGTGTTGGGGGAATGGGAACCAGATGGATGAGAAATTCCCAGTCGTTATCTCGCAGCTAGCACTGGCAGGCCTCTTTCCTGCCATACCGCCTCGGAGAGGCTTTCCTTTATTTGGGAAGGGTGTTGTGCTAGCTGTGTGGCACATCTAACAGACCGGTGAAGCGAAGTTTGGCGGCATATTATAAGTGGGGGAAACGCATATAGGGATGCGATTCAGAGAGACGGTTTCGATTTCCTTTCATGTGTAGGAATTAAAAAGATAGTACCAAGAAATGCAGCATTAAACGGAAGCTGGAGAAAACAAAATGCATCTGGCTTGTTTTTCAAGTGCTCAAAAAGCATACTGCATACTCAAGGGTTTTTTCTTGCACAACAATACCAGGAGACTTGAGTTCTTGTCTTTCTAAACACAGCTGTCAAGTGGAGAGATTCTGATTCTCTGTGACGTCAATGTCTGGTCAGTACTCTAGTTCTCCAGTTAGTGTTCAGTTTACCATAACTGGTTACTGATCGGAAGTCTTTCCCGTTTTCATGGGATTCCAGAGTAGTAGTATATTTTTGAATATAAAAGCAAACTTATAGGTGAGGACAAATAGCATACAGTAGTTAGGCATGGAATGAGTGTTGTATTTATGCTTGTTAAATGATTTATTGTGCATTCATTCCTTTTTTGCATGTGTATCTATTGCTCAATTACCCCATTTAGCATGTGAATGCGTTACCATTGGCAGTTTGTGTGCCAGGGCTCCAATATGGCTGAAGTGACTGAAGAGCGATGGAGAGAAAAGTTTTTGTCTCGACTTTCGATCCACTGACCTTAAAAATTTGTGGTCTCTGGTTTTGTTACAATTACAGTAGCCAAACAAAGCATGAAAATCCTAGAGTAGAAAGAAGTTGTGGCTTCGTGTAAATTGACTCATTTGTGTTCGAAAATTCTTTTATATCGGCGTGGGTTGATGTCTTGATAATAGAAGAGCTCTCCGGCTTCAAGGTGTAACCTAATTAAGAAGTCGTCACGTGTAGTAATCGTACAGGGCGAGTGCTGGGGTTTGAGACAGATAAATTAATTTCAGCCCCAGTCTGCTGCATATCTCCTCTTAGCTGAACGGAATATGCATCTGTGTGTATCCAATCTTAGATTAATGGCAAGGAATTAATGCTATTACAGCATGCGGTAAGCTGTTTACATTTCATGCACATCAGATTGAGAGGGCAGAGCTACAAAACAAACTCACCACCCAGGGCTAATTACCATCCTCACTGGTGGGTACGTTTGTATGTCACTCGGTCAGGTCCTGGGTTGTGCTAAAAAGTGCAGCTCCTTTCATGTAAATGTAACCTTTTCTCAGACCCTCGCTGTAGAATCCCCCTTCAGCATTACTGCCTACACTTTCATCCCCACTTTGCTCCTGTGTCAGCATAATAATAATTGCTTGAACTGTATCCAGGAATCTTTAAAGTCGCCACTTTTGCTGGGTAGTCATAAGAGAGCAAAGTCGTAGGATTTTATTTAGTGCGGAGTGGATTGCCACATTAAATCAGGAATCATTTTTTTCCCCCTTAATTAAATGTGTGAGTAAATAAGCTTAATACTAGGACAATGAAATGCATTACGACAATGGAAATGCGAGGCAGCCACTGGCTCATAGCTGAATAATGTCTGCCCACTCACTTAGACGGTGCTGTAAATAAAATCATTGTCACAGCATACTTGTTTAGCACATTTTAAAAGCATCTACTTATTTAAGGAGCTTAAGTTATCAATTTCCGCTGTGCTTAAATATTTATGTTAACCATCATGAAGCTTACAATTTCCATTGTTCATTGAAAACCAGCACTGGACAGCTGTTCTTTCATAAGTCCTTCTTTACACCATTGGAGGTGTGGCAGAGATCTTCCAGAGAGAGACTCAGAGAACTGTTTATCAGACTGGATACGTCTGTCTGGAACATTTATGGCCCTTGGCTTGATTACAGTCAATTTGTGTTCCAGGTCAAAAAAAGAGTCTGTGTGTGGTGAAGGCCCACACTTCCATTCAGCAACAATACATTGCATAAAAGCAAAATGAAGAATTCTGAAAGCAGCGGTTACTTTTCAGGAAAATATTCCACTGGTTTATTCTGTGACCATGCTAAATTTACAGAGCATACTCTGCATGTACAACGTGATGGGTCTCATCTAAAATCTGATGGAACCACTCGTTTTTAATAAAAAAAATATCTCCAGCTGAAAAATAAGCTCCCCAAAGAATAAATGTGTTGTTTATATACAAAGTGCAATTCATGAAACACCACAGCTTAAACAAAAGACTCAGTTAGCCGCAGGTGTCGTTGTGTATCAAAGATGATACCAGTCGTTGTCAGCTAACATAACACGGGCCCTGGATCTCACTTGCACAACAGAGCATCAGGTTTGCAGTCACCCGGGGATTTACTGCAGCCTCTCTCACATTTTAGTTATTATTGTTCTGCTGAAATATCGAGGCATTTAAACGTGCCACTGTGATTTGGGGAAGTGGGGGTGGGGCTGTCATTACCAAAGGGAAGCATCTGCTTGCCACGCAGCAGAAACGTGGTGATCATCTTTGAGCTCGACTAATGAGGCAGTAACATCTGAGGCTCACCTTTCAGCAGCGCTTTGATTGTGGGGGGGGTGAAATTCGGAGATGTAATGCAGCTCAGGACACTTGTTATGTTTCTGCCTCAAGTGTTTTGTTTTGGAGCCTGGCGATGTATTTTGTTCTGCGAAGGGGATGGTCTGCTCTGCACAGGGCGCTCACCGCCGCGGCTTGTCTCCCTCGCTCCAGATCGCACTGAGAAGCACTCCACAATGCCAGACTCACCTGCTGATGTGAAGGCGCAGTCCAGGTTGACACCACCAACGATGCCACCTCCTCCCACCACGCAAGGAGTCCCAAGGACCAGCTCCTTCACCCCGACCACATGTAAATGTCAATCGCCGCTCTTCTATTCTTTTCTCCTCAGTGTTTTTTTTTTTGCTGTTTTCACATGAGTTCCCTCCACCTCATCGATTATCCGCAGTGAAAAAGGAACCTGCACATCCTTGTGTGCAAGCTCATCTAGTTGTTTATCAACGCATATGTTTTTTGTGCCCTTTATACCTTGTGATTGTAATGCACCTTATTTTCCTAATATGAATATACCGTGTCTGTTTTTTAATAAACCAGTCGGCTTTATTTGTTTTGTTTCTTTTCACTCTCAGCACTGAGCCAGTGTGCTGTAGGAAGCATGCTAATATAGGAGAGTGTGAACTTTAAACAGAAAAGAAATGGCACAAAAATAGCTGTGTTGGATGAGAACATAGGTACAGTTTTCAGTTTCAATTTTCAGTTCACAGGTGTTGAAAATCTTTATCTTCCTCTTAAAACGATAGATAATTTTAACATTGTTTCACTGTAGTAAGCTTCCTTCCTCTATGGTATTTGTGGTGTGATAGGATAGGCAACAGGTTAGGGATCAACCACCAATTATAGACTTTGACTGCTTTACAAAGCAACTACTTTGATTTTCCTCTATTTAATTGTTAACAGATGGGGGCTGAGAATTTTTTTTGCTGCAGTGTTGTGAAAGTGTTCAGTGTTCAGCAGGAGCAAAATATGCAGCATGTTCTCATTAACAATTCAGATTTTGTGCTGCTTGCCTTAGACGTTTGAACGCTTCGTTTCAAGAGCTCATCAGCATCCTTGTCTTGAGTTTTGTGTAGAGAAATCCGTCATTGGTTAAAATATAGGCATGCAGCTCCTCGTTAATGGCGATGTTTCGGTTTGCGGTTTGCGAAGAAAAAGTCTTTCCACATTGGGGTAAAATTCCTTTTTTAAAAAAAAGCACAATCTTCAATACGGGAATGTTTTAGTGATTATTCAACATTCTGTCCCACTTAACCCAATGATGATGATGCCAAATTGGATATACAAACACCTTCCACTTTCCTGGAGTGGTATTTACTTAACGGAACTAAAAGGTGAAACAATAAACCTCTTAGTGCTTACACAACCAGTTGTACGTAAGGTGGAGTTCACCAGGTAAAGAGTTTTCCTTGTTTCTGTTGTGATAAGTTACTTTTTTGTTCTTTTTTATGCAGTAACAAATGGCACCAGCCATTCTCCCACAGCATTAAATGGAGCCCCCTCTCCGCCTAACGGCTTTAGTAACGGACCTTCCTCATCCTCCTCCTCTTCGCTAGCCAATCAGCAGTTGCCACCCGCCTGCGGAGCCCGGCAGCTCAGCAAGCTGAAGCGTTTCCTCACCACCCTGCAGCAGTTTGGCAACGACATCTCACCGGAGATCGGCGAGCGGGTGCGGACGCTCGTGCTAGGGCTTGTGGTAAGTCTGAGCCGCAGATATGGTACCTGGTAAGCATGTGCCCAGTCTTTAATAATCAGATGTCAGATTATGGCTGGGCTGTACTAATGCAAAATAGTTCAGAAATAGTTCCTGGAGAGCTATTGTGTCTGCAGGTTGTGTGGGTTTTCTAAAGCCTCTGAACCCGAATAATTGAGGAGCTGTTAAATTGGTCCATCTGAGACAAAAGTGAGCTGGTTTAGCTCATTAAGATCTGAGTTTGAATTAAAACGTGCTTAGACACTTGCTGTCCAAGAACAATACTGGACACCTCTGCCATAAAATGATCCTTAAGAGCTGTATTAATGTGATTTACATACAGTAGGTTGGGAGTTATAAGCTGATGCAGAGTAGCTTTAGTGATCATACATGATGCAGTATGTCCATTCTGGACATACTGTAGCTTATTTAGTACCTTAGGGGATACCAGGTGTTAAGACAGGTGTTAATGTGTCAAATCTGGATTAAATACAATCATGTTTATCAAATAAAATCATATTTAAGCAGCAAATGGAGCAAGGGTCTTAACCGAGAAGTGTTACACAGATGGAAAACGGATATCATCAGTTTAGCAGTTTAGCGGTGAAACCCACATGCATGATGACAAATAATCTGACTAAATAGTTTAGATATATTGGCTGTTTCTTGTGTTTGTTTTTCTCTGAGTACCTCCAAGTGTGGCTTTAGTTTGTCCTCCTGATTTCCTCTGTTGTCTGTCTAGTTTCCTCCACTCTCCTGAGTTCTCACTTTCCCTTCCTTTATTGAAAAGCATGACACACTTAATTAGCGCTTGGAATGCTAAGTAAAAGCTCAGGAGAATTTCTGGCTGTCAAAATAAGCTTCTGCAATCTGTGCAAACAGATGTAAGTGTAATGTAACAAAATTTAGACCTGGGAAAAAAGGAGTATGCTATGTTTTTTATAATTATTTTCAAATAGACTTACAATACTATCTGTATGTTTAAACAGATACACAGTCATGGTGCAGATGGAAAATGGTGTTTTAAAGATTAAATAGAGTGAAGGGAAAAGGCCGCTCAATGACATACCAGTTGGGATAAATATACTAACAAAATGACACGCTGTATACTCAAGAAGCATTACAGAAAACATTTCTTCACATTTCCCTCTGCGAATTTTCCATCTGTGACAGCTTGTGCATTTGGAAAAGATCATTTTTAAACAATATATACAGTATATACACATTACTTCACTGAAATATTTTAATCATATAAAATGATATGATTCAAATTCACTTCATTCACTTGGTGGCCTTTCTGAATGAATTTAAACAAGTTCAGAACCAAGAGAAATGAGCTACCAATGAGCTGTTCTGTTGTTTACCATGTGTTCCCTATTAAGGTTCTACATCCTCAATCATTCAATCTTCTACAGGATATGATTTTGCTTCCAATCAGTAATATCACCGCATAATGTTTTTCATATGTATTTATATGTGTATTTTTTTTTCCTATAGAACTCTACCTTAACCATTGAAGAATTTCACTCCAAACTGCAAGAAGCTACGAATTTCCCACTGCGACCTTTTGTCATCCCATTTCTGAAGGTATTGCACAACTCAGTGGTCTGGAAACTATTTAAACACTGCTGTAGATAAGTCACAGATGTGCATATTTCTTTTGATTTTTTTTAAGAGTGTTTAGAAGAAAGAAAGAAAGCTGAACTGTAGCGTCTTCCCTCTTAGCTCTTAAATGGATACAGGGATTCCAGTGGGCCAAGAGGCATTGAGTTTCTTGTCCTCTAGGATTTTGTTTTGCAGGCAGATTTTCTTCCCTGAGCTATATTTTGAATCTCCATAACCTTAAAGGCAAGCAAAGGCTTGTTACCTATAAATTTAGCTATGGGTTAAATTCCTTTTACCAAGTATACACTATGTACGACTCTATATATGTGTATATTATTATAGTTATAGTTTTAGTACCAAAACATTCATACTTTTTATTTAAAGTATGTTGTTCACTTATAGAGTTTTGAAAAGCAATAGTGTCATCCAAAATCCTATTTACCATGGGAAAAAAAAGAAAATTGTTGTTTGGAGTTGTGTGGTAAATGCATTTTTGTACCTGTTTCACAACATAAGATATAAGATGAGCAGTAAATTTTCATATTTGAAACTGTAAGAATTGCATTCCATTTTGTACATGACGACATTTTACCACAGGACAAAAACTTCAATAGTGCTCATTTTGATTTTAAAATATTTGGTAACCGTTCCAGAAGTTTTAAGGAAGGTTGTTTGCTTAACATACAAGTCATTTGCAAACAGATACATTCTGTATGTCCTCAAAGCTTTTTGCTGGCATTGCTGGCACGTTATCACTCACAGAGGGAAGTTTTAAAAGATTTCATCATCAAATTAGTTTTCTAACTCCCGGGTCTTTCACTGTTGCGAAAATTGTTCCCATTAGGGTCAAGTTTTCAGCTCACAGAGGTGAAGAATCAGACAAGGACACTTGGAGATCCTTCTCTCACTGCTGAATGCCATATGGTTACCATATCATTTAGTTGGGATAGTTGGAATCAAAGATGTAACTTTTTTTCTAATTTTAGTGCTTTTCCTCAAAGGAGCCTTTAATGACAAATACCATATGGTTGTGGGAACATGGGCCTTAATAAGTGCATTCAAACGCAGCTGTAACAATATGCATTAAAGTCTTGTTTTCATTAGGCTAATGTAACCCACAGACCCACTCTTCTATTTTGCGTTTATGGAGAAACATTTACTGGAAGGATATTAGACACCATTCTAATTACCTAATCTGGCACCAAAATTAGAGTAAACAAAATTGCTTTGTATTGCCATATTTTTTGAATTTGAAAAGTCTGTTTGTAGAGTCAATTAAACAGATTTTACTGAAAGCTTCTCATTTTGTATTGTTAATACATGAAAGTCTGGCTGCAAGACATCCTCTAGGAAAAGGCACACACTTAAGAAGAGAACTACAGATTTGTGACAAAAAAATTATCTTGTTTGTATTGTTTTGCTTTTGTGAGCACTGTCATGGTGTTTTTTTTTTTTCCTTTCGTCTTGGACTGCTTGGAAGCCAGATTAGAATATCAGTAATGGCTGAATGTTATCTCCAGCTGCAGTTTGACATTTTTAAACTCCAGCATCTTTTCAAACTGCAGAAAGAAAAATCAGCTACACAAAATGCTGAAGGTGATGTTTTTTTTTTTATCACGGAAGAACATTCTGCACATCAACTAGTAAAGCCCAGTTTCTCGGTGCAAGGAGTATTTTTTTTTTAAATAGTTTGACTCAACCGTGAATTGAGTAACAAAAGTGAAGTCTAACGAGACTGGATGTGATCATGTTGAGCTGTGCCAAAAACATCTGCCCACAAGATGCATACCGCCTGGTGACGTCCCACTAATTATCACTTCAGGAATGCTTTGCTCTGGGGTGGCTGTGTGGAATCTGTTTCCGACAATTTACATGCAATACAATCTATTTTTGAATAGATTATGAATGAAATTTAAAATGATTGGCAAATGTACTTTCGAAATTTGGGCAGAGGGGTAAATCTTTAACTTTTTGTTTTTAAGATTAACCTTTACACGGGGTAGTTGGGTTTTTTATTCCAGTTTTGCACAATTGATCATAGACCAAACATGTTTTTTTAGGGCTTCCAATTAAAGGTCCTGTGGTAAATGAGACACTAAGGTTTGCTGTACTGATCATCATTAACTATTAGTGACACATCAGAACTATTGGTGAATGAGTATTTTTCACTAACTGTTTTCATTCTATTTTTTTTTTTTTTTTTTACTGTTTAAACTAGAAGGACATTTTTAACTCCGAAAGAAATGTTAGAGCCTCACACACATCATAATTAGCCAAGAAGTGCATCACAGATGCCTACAGCATGTCTGTAATTAAGGAAAATCCAAGTTCTTTAATTATAGTAATCTCTTAACATAGATCAGCCCCATTTTTAATTTCCAAGATGTTGTCTATAAGGACCTTTTCTAAAACTGCTGTACGGTCTACTGCTATGGGAATGCAATCGTTTCAACATCCCCGTCACCAAGCATCAGGTTAAATTGATTGTAATAACTGTCTGAACTACTTAAAGCAAAACAAAATCATATTTTTACACACAGTAAAGATGCTATGTTGAATTCCTTTTCAACTTGTCAGTGTTCAGCTCATTTAAAGCATTTAGTGAAATGAACCATTTAAGTAAAACTGTTTTTCTTTTCAATTGGCTTCTATATTTATACCTGATTTTGAATAATAAAAGAAAGCCTAAGGATCATAAAAAATAAGACCCCAGATATCTCGAATATGTGCAGGAAAACACAAGAAGGAAAAACAGAAGAGTCGGGATCGGGCCGAGAGCAGGAGGGCCTTCCCCCGTGTTCTGTAAAAGGCGGGTGTTTTGGAGGGGGCGAGCCTGACCGCTTCCTCCTCTCCCCCCCTCTCTCCCCCTCGCCAGGCTAACCTGCCGCTGCTCCAGCGCGAGCTCTTGCACTGTGCGCGGCTGGCCAAGCAGAACCCGGCCCAGTACCTCGCTCAGCACGAGCAGCTGCTCCTGGACACCAGCACCACCTCACCCATCGACTCCTCCGACCTGCTGCTGGACGTCAACGAGAACGGCAAGAGGAGGACCCCAGACAGGTGAGGCCTGGCCGCAGGCAACCTGTTGCCAACCGTGGCTCTTATTATCCTCCCATCCACCCATTTTCTTACCACTGTATCCCATCTGGGGTTGCAGGGTGGGGGGGACCCGGAGCCTGTCCCTGAAAGGCAGACTATTCCGTACCCTGGACAGAACCCCAGTCCATCACAGCACACACAGGGACAATACAGACACTCACACCGGGGCCATTTTTGCCAGAAGCCAGTTAACACGGTATGTCTTTGGACTGTTGGAATAAACCCACGTGACTAAGGCTACAACATGCAAGCTCCCCACACATAGCACTCCAGGAGCTGAACCCAGGGCCCCACTATGCCAGCGTGCCGCCTCTGTGACTTTCCGCCAGACTTGATTTTCATCATTAACATTTCTGTGATGAGAAAGGATACAAATGAGGAGAGACCATTTTGCCCATTTAGCCAGGTCGGTAGTTAGTAATTAATCCAAGGATCTCATTCAACTGTTTCTAGAGAAGAAGAAAATGGGATAGCAGGTTCAAAGGCATGGCTTAACCTTGAGCTTTACTATTCTCACTTCCACATAGTTTTCATGTGTGTTCCCTGGTTCATGTTTCGCTATTTGTTCTGAAAAAGTCCACTGGCCTGCCTTTGTCAAGGACTTTGAGATGTTTGAATACTTGGATCAGGTCCCCAAGGTGTCAATGTTTGTTAAAGGATTGCCATTTATTTCTTAACTTGAATACATTGTTGCATTTGATCATTAATGTGGGATACTTTTCGATCAGTACAGCCTGGTCAGTACAAATGGTGTTTGTTGGAAAAATTTAACTGCCCAGGAAAATCCAAGTTTATTAATTTAAAGTAGGAGGTTTGACCAGAATGTGTATAAGTATTTGTGTATGAAGATTTTTTTTTTAAGGAAGCATTGCTTTTATTAAAAGCGAATGTGTTTTTCATTTTATGTGTCTTCAATGCAATTATGCTTTAAATCAGCATCGTTTGAAAGTCTTTTTGTTATGTTTCAGAATTGCAAAGGTGCTCTGGTGGTGCTGACCATGTTATGAATTGCTTGTGATGTGCTCTCTACAGAGAAGCACCAGGTCCTCTAATGTTGTTCATGTTGAGCTGTGATGAAATCATTACTCATTTTGCATTACCAGTCATGTTTCACTTCTTCAGATGGGCTTGTAAAAGGCAGGTGAATCACTAGCAATCCCTGGTTCTTTTTGGATCTATTTATATAGTGGTTTAAAGCCAGAGTCAATAAAGTTCAGACCCAGAAGGCAGAAATTTAAATCAAGAAAAATTAGATTTTTTGATTTTTTGATCCTCTGGGAAGGCTGAGTTCTCAGATGAGCATCTGCAAAACCTTTTCTCTTAAAATTGTTTGAGCACATCTTCATTACAATCACTCTGTAATAAAAAAGGTTTGGATGATAAATTATTTCCGAAATAAGCAGCATTTTAATGTTCACAGAAATTGTAAATAGTTGTAAGAACAGAAAAGGTATAGCACCAACTGGAAAAAATGTTTTATGCACTGTATAGAAAAATCAATGTTAGTAGTTGTCATATTAGCTCTTTCTGGTTTTCATTAATACTTTTGTGTGCTTTTTCCTTATTGTAATTCTTGCATAATTCTAAAATCTATAAAACATATAGATGGAGCCTTGGGACACAGATGATAACAAATACAGATGAGCTGTCTGGCCAAACGGGCTTGCTAAGCTATTCTTTTTCTGCTTAGCTTTGCTTTGTTAAAGGCAGAATTGGAATGTTTTATTTAAACAATACAAATTCTAATAAGAGGTTGTGATATTATTATGATTCACATAGTGAGTTCGAAAGGCAATACATATTTTCTTTCCTGACTCCTTGTGTTTTTTATTTACTGTTTATTAGTTTTAAGGAATAATAGCAGGATATACTGTACTCACATTAAAGACGGCAAAATGACACCTTTTCTCTCATTTCAGAGAACTCGGTTTACTACAAAAGGCTTTGCAAATTACAGCCATGTCTCTTAAGGCAGCCGTTATGAAGAGCAAAAACATAAATGTGAAAATGCTGCTTTGAGGAGGAGAGAAAAAAGATTCTCTGTAGCGTGTGTGTGTTGGGGGGTGTTTTGGTACATATGGCTTGTCATGGATGAGCAGTCACAGTGAGATTTGAAGTCTATTAAAATGGCTCATTAAAAAGTTCAATCTGTTTCTGTAATAACATTGGGATCTATCCGTCATTAAACCAGCGCCAAACTTGACATTGGAATGGAGTCGTAGTTTGCAGCTGCCTTTGGAAATCTTTGTGGCTGTTGGTACCGGTTCCCATTTCTAGATACAGTATGTCAGCAGGACTGGCTCAGCTTTCACTGGAACACAGCACAGATAATGAACGCTGCAAAACAGAGGAACCATGCAGCTTCTGTTTTCAAGTCCAGCAATGAATAAAAATGCATGTGCACTGCAGTGGTTTGCTATAACTACTACATGTAATTCATTTTAATACTTCATACTACAATAATTCATAAACGCCTTACACTGCAAAAACCAATGGATGCATGGTTGTGCTCCAAGGTTTAAGCTCCATCTTTGGTCATGGCTGTGATGTTACATGTTTGTATTGGTATAGGGGACTTTTAGAAAAAAAGCAACAAGGGTACCTACTCCATTTCAACTTGGTACAAAATTTCTATTGATGTACAACATATCAGCTACTTCGGCTTCAAGTGACTGTAAATACAGTATTATAGCATAGAACTGGGTAAGCCATTCAGCTTTTGCGTCACTGGGATCACTGGCATTAGACAAACAAAATAACCAGGCCATTAAATAAAAAATTCAATGAAGACAGAATTCATTATTTGTAGAATCGCCAATTATTCTTGTTATATACCCATCACGTCTTATTTCATGACTACAAACTCTGCATGCGCACACGGCGGAGAATGAGGAAGTGTAGTCAGACCCTTCCAATGCTCCCACCTCGTCTTTTAACACCTTACACGTACGGTCTTCAGTGCCAATTGGAAGAGAGGGGCTTCCACCTTACAGCACCACAAGCCTGGCAGCCCCAGGAAGCTGAAGGGGGCGCTGTGTTACGACGAGTGACCTGGATGACTAATCCCACTACATAGCTCAACCAATTATGTCCCCATCCCTGTATGCCAGTAGCATGACACAGGCTCGAACCCACGACACCTAGATCAGAGAGATGAACTTGCATTTTATTAAGCCTTTCCCTAACCCTAAGGCACTCGGAAGCCCCTTAAATCAACATGTTGTATCACCCATGAGTGTTTGAGAAAATTGTATCGGGAGGGAAAAAAATGTCTAGCAGAATGTGCTTTACTTTTACATGCATGGAGGTGGGAAACAAGAAACATGCAGTGAACCTCTGATTCACCCTGCAGTTTACTGCAATTCATTTTCACTTTTCTCTCCTGCAGAACCAAAGAGAATGGCTTTGATCGAGAGCCTTTGCACTCAGACCACCCAAGCAAGAGGCCCTGCACTATCAGCCCTGGTCAGCGGTACAGTCCAAATAACGGCCTGTCTTACCAGCCCAACGGTCTGCCTCACCCCACACCGCCTCCACCTCAGCACTACCGTCTGGACGACATGGCTATTGCCCACCACTACAGGGACTCGTACAGGCACCCCAACCACAGGGACCTCAGGGACAGAGCCAGACCTCTGGGTAAGGATCTCAGGCCTGCGCGGCTAAGGAGAACCAGCTGGCCTCACATGAGTGGGAGTGTTGGTTTCTGAAGGGCTCACCGGGTCATGTTTTTTCTGCTGTGACTCTATTGTACCTTCTTTCGGCAAATGGACAGTTAGCAGTCAGCACATCCCTCTGATAATCCCACCTCCCGTGCTGCCTTTTAGGTTATCTTTTTGTCATTGCCACAGTTAGAAAATGGGGTACATCTCGCCAGTGCAGCAACAAGATAATTCAGCCTTTGTGCAGACTGCTTGATATTTAAAGCACATAATCAGATTCAACACTGAGTTCAGAACATTGTGACAGCAGAAAACAATAAGCTTTCGCATCAGTAGTACCAAACCAAATTTATATGTATATTTTTCAGTGCGAGACAGTTTGGATGTAATGCTCGAAAATAATTGAATGTTTGATGCTTGTAATCAAAGTAAAACAGGATTGGATGGGAAGTCTATTGGCAAATGGATCTTCCCGGGAAAATTTTGTCTACTGGATATTAGCAGATTCTGAACTGCCTGCCTGGTACATGGGTGATTAATCCACTCCAAACTGTAATATAAAACACTGCAACCTTCTTTTACTGAATTAGACTTTACTAATACATCTGAAAGCCTCTCTGAAGATTTTCTCACAGCTCATCACATCCTGCCTGCCCCTGCCCATTGGCAATTTTATTTTGAACATAAAACCAGTTACAAAAGAAAGGAGACCACTTGGGCAGTTTTGTAGTTAGATACGAGGAACTCATTCAGTTTTTTCTTGAAGGAAATCAAGGCATCGGCTTCAACCACATGGCTGGGTAGCTTGTTCTCCTAGTCTCATTTTTTTTAAAGGCACGTTCTCAAAGTTTTGACTTGTAGCCTCTGGTTAGTGTTTTTCACTTTTCATTCTGAAAAAGCTCACTGATTTGACTTTGGCAATTGCTTTGAGGATTTTGAATTATTGGATCAGGTCTCCTCATGGTCTCCTCTGCTTAAGAGAAGAAAAAAAAGGTTCATTTTCTTCAGCCTGTCAGTGTAGGGTGAAAAAGGCACTTTGCCAAAACTCAATCGGTCAAAGGCCCAATGAAGATTTGGATATATATAGGGGTAACTGCTTTTAATTTCCCAAAAAAACAAGAAAGTAGAGAAAAAAATAACAAGCTCATTGTAGTTTATTCCTGGTAATCTCTTAAGGATGGAAGAGTTTCACATAGAGGAGATGCAATAATACCACTCTCCGAAGCCGTAGAGCAGTAGGCTTAAAAGTACCACACAGACCTCTGGTGATATCAGATGAAGTTCCTCTTTCGTCTTCCACACAGGTAATAAAAAGCCTCAGCAGGGCCTGTTGCTGCCTACTTGTTTCCTGTTCAAGATCAGGGGTGCCTGAAGAGAGGCGTTTGTGCAGTTCATAATGGACGGCCTATTACGATACTGGGGAGAAAAAAAAAAAGATGAAGGCTGAATGTATTTTCTCAAGGATGTATGTTTATTATTACTTGACAGACCCCTTTGTAAGTGTAATGGGCTGCGACTCGCCCGCAGACAGCGTTGGAAAGTAGGGGAACTGTTTGAGGAATGGAGGTGTCGGGGTTTTGTGTTAGTGATGAGAAAAGCAGAGACGATCACGACTCACCTGATGGATAATGGGGGAAGAAGAAAGGTTTTCCAGTAGAATGGCTCAGAGTGAGTGAAATCGTTTTCCCCTCTTGGCAGGGATGCATGGCACACGTCAGGAGGAAGTGATTGATCATCGGCTTACGGACAGGGAATGGGCAGAGGAGTGGAAGCACCTTGACCATGTAAGAAAAGTAATAACATTTTTTATTACTAAAAATAAAATGTATGTCTGTGCATGTACAGTCGTTCTTCAACAATACTAGGAGCCCAGTTCAAAAGTGGCGTATTGCACGCTGAGTATAGAATTCACCAGCAATCTTGGATGAGAGTGAATATGTGAATTAAAAAATAAGATTCCGGCTAATGTTTTGTTGGTCCTTCCATCTGCTGTAATTACCACTAAAGCCCTCTGGGACAAAATGTATTTCAGCCATTGTATCTTTAGGTGTTTTTCAAGCCCTTTCATGCGACTCATGATAAATGCTGATACATAACGTATACAGTATTTTTCAGTTCCAGCTTGATTGTTTTGCAATTCTCAAATACAAGGAAAAACTGGGGGAATTAACCAAAGAGCAAGAGCTCATGTACAGCTTTTCTCTTCTCAGGGGAGGACCCAAGCTGTAATTAAAAAACGAAAGACATACGTAGGATGTGCAGTCTGTGCCGTCTTGCAATACCAAATCCCCACACAAACAAACGTTGCAATGATGGGGGGGGAAAAAAAACTCACGGCCGCTCATGAAGACAGACATTTAAAACTCCTCTCCTTAAGGAACAGCTAAAGAAGATCGGCCTGTTTCTCTAGTAGACTGCAGGAGCAATCCAAAACTGTCTTTTCATGCATCCAAAGTCCAAAGTATTACATGTGAGGGTCTTGGCTACCCAGGGCCCATCCCAGAAATGCAGGGTTTGAGGCTGAACGAGGTTCATGTCCGTTGCATGGCATATACACGAGGACACAAACACCCCGTTAGTCTAGTCGCGTGTTTCTGGGAGGTGGGGGTGGAAAACTGGAGAGCCTGGAGTGTAAATGAACTTAAAGGAAATAAAGGCTCACTGGTCCTTTAAAGGAAGTAAAGGAAGTAAAGGATCACTGATCCTTTACTGAACAAAGTGTCGGACTAAAATTATGGAGTTATTAAGATGTAGGTCAATGTTCTATCAAATACCTGCTGTAAAGAATTTATATAATAGCCTTTCCTCAAAGTGCTTAATCCTTTTTTTTTACCGTAGGTTTTTGAATCTTCTACTATTTGTACATGTTGAATTTGGTTGAATTTGGCAGGGTGTGGATCTGTAAGTTGCGGGCACATTGCCTTTTGTTTCAGTTTTGAATTACTTCTGAAACTAACACAAACTTTGTGGCAGCAAAAATGACAAGAAATTCATTCTGAAATCCAATTGTCTGCAGATATGCCTTTTAAATGTGCCAACACTCCACGCTGTTGACACCTTTAGTACTTTATGTGCTAGCAGATAAAACCAGAAAACGGTTCTCAGTTGGCCTCACCAGTCTCACAAATACATATACTGTACATCAGTTCTAATTCAAAGCATCAGGAAAGTGTTCTTCGGACTCTGAGAATTTTCTCTATTTCTGCCCTCAGATTTTTTAATGAGGTTTGAAATATGCAACTGTCACAACATAAAGGGTGTTAGTGGTAATTAGGAAAGATGGAAGACCTACAACATTTTCCATAAAAAATGTAAAAATTATTTGTGTACTGTACTCATCCCACATAACCAATCCAAGGCTATGTATCATTCTCTATTTTTCTTTTTTTACACATATTGAGGGTTAATAATCTTGACATTTTGTTGGTGATCATTTCGTCGTTATCATGCCATAACCACATGTATCTCCATGCATCTACGGTAATAGTCTACATCTTGGTGAAAGGAAATCACTAAAACAGAAATACGATTATAACGAACAGGAATAACATTTCGGTTTACTAAAAATGTTTCATAACCATACTATTTGTTAAATATACATGCATTTATTTTGGCAGTTTGAAAATATTTGCTGATGTGAAAGTTAGCCCTTCTGAGTCATATCTTGGTACTTAGATGGCCGAAGTTTCTGTACTGGGAGTGTTTATAGCTTTTCATCTGAATGTTTCTTTGGAAGGGTGGAGACAAATAAGAAAGAAGGGTAGTGGGAGAGACTGTTTTCTGTGGTCTGGAAAATGTATGTTTCTTTAACTTTTTAAAAAATTAATTAATTGATTAATGTTGTTTGGCTGTGTAAAATAAAGATACAAAAAGAAATTGAAATTTCAACACCTGGAAAGTCCTTTCTTTTCAGTCCTTTCTCAGTTTTAAACCTAGTCACTAGTACAGCTTGTTTTGTCAGTAAGGTTAACAATATCGACTTAGTTTTTGTCAGGTGAAGAGAAATTCAATTTATTTCAATTTCTATTTAAGTAAAATAAGGAAATCACTATGTAGCCATTTCCTATGATACAGAAAGGAAAAAAAAATGAAAATGAAATATTACTTGTGAATAAGATAGTAAATTAAACTCTAGTAATACTGTCAAAGCAAAGTACAGATGAGTTAATCCAAGCTGGGGTTTTCTTCATTTTGAAGTGAAATAATGCATCGTATAAAATAGTTTATCTTATAGTTGTCTTTGCTTCTTTATTCATAATCTCCAACACTCTTCACAATTTATTTTTTGTGCAGCTTTCTTTCATAATTAGATTTACAAGGTTTTGCCTACAGGCCCAGCTAGTCATTAATTGATTGAAACCCCCTAATGTATGGATGAACACAGTTTTAATAATTTGGAGTCTGTTCTTGCCAGTACCCCTGAATTAGTAAATTACTTTTTTTTTTAATTGCAGGCTTGGAAGAGATAAGCTTTGTAATTAACACAATTGATGATGGGGTGAAATGATTCTCAGAAAAGTAGAGTGGTAGAGTTAGGTGTTAAAAAAGCAAAGATTGAGTAAGTATAATCTGTATCTTTTCAGATATACTTTGCATTCCCAAATGAGCCCCTTCTCAAGGATATATTTATAGCTTCTTTAAATTGGGGCATTTTTATTGTCAACAGCCTCTTATGTGCTTCTGCACAGAGATGGAAGTTACCATTTGCCAGAATACTAAAGCACAACACGTTGTCAGCTTCATGCTATGTTGTTGACCCAGCATGCGCTGTATGTTTACAGAGCAGTTTCTTTCAATTTTAGACTTGTGGTCCCACTATATGACCCTTTTCAGTGCAGCACCTCCTGCTGGGAAAAATAAGATGGTGATGGGGAACCAAGTATCTTAATGGCCTGGAGCGAGTGTCTGAATCACCTGGGATGTTTCTCTGTTTAAAATGCGGGTTCATTACTGAAAAAGCAGTCATTGACCTGCCGAGATAAATGTAAACTCTGTTAAAATGCTACATCATGCTACTTGGAGCACATGCATGTACACAAATACTGACAGAAAATTAGCACCTGTTGCTGGTGTTGTGTAAGGTTCTCTCGGATAGATATAAAACTTTCATTGATCCTGCGTTCAATTTAAAAGGTCTTTTTGAATGATACTGTAAGTTATACATATTCTTAATCGGCCCCTTTCTCCAATTCTAACTCAACTTGTATACAAATAGTAATCATTGCGAGTTATGAAATCACATGACTTTGAGCTCAATGTTTTGTTCTCCAAGGGAAAAACACGGCTCCATCAATACAGCTGCAGTATCTGCTCATTATTTAAACTATGAATAGCATTATATGCATTTTATTTCCACTGTGCTTCAGAATAAACAGTGTAGCGTATATACAGTATATAAAATCCCTTTTTCCTATCAAGTCATGTTTGTAAGAGACAATTTCTTATAGTTTGCACCATGGCATTGTCCCTGTTCATCTTTGTCAGTTACACCATTGTCATCACTAGTTTGGTAATATCTTGAAGCTGTAAGCGTTAGTTTTTGGCCTGCCCCTTCCATAAAATACATTAAATTGTGCCAGTCCATGTGCTCAGCGCCCTGTGTGTTCCCCCCTCCTAGCTGCTGAACTGCATCATGGACATGGTGGAGAAGACGCGGCGCTCGCTCACTGTGCTCAGGAGGTGTCAGGAGGCCGACCGTGAAGAGCTCAACTACTGGATTAGACGCTACAGTGATGCTGAGGACCTTAAGAAAGGAAGCAGCAGCACCAGCCAGTCCAGACAGCAGAGCCCCGTCAGCCAGGATTCCACCACCACAGGTACAGCACAGGGGCTCCGCAGCTCAGCTTCTGGAGAAAATGTGTAATGTTTCCTGTCAGGCTAATAAATAGTTACCACTTGCAAACATAAGCAAAAAAAAAACACTTTTTGAGACTTTCACCACATTTCCGAACCACAGCCTGCTGCAGTACGTGTAGGTATTAGTTTCTTGCATCCTTTCCTGCACTTTTAATGCTTACATATTTTTAAACTTATTCTCCAGCTACCGCTGAATCAATTTTATTGGTCCCTGCAAACACACGGGTCTTTAACTAAAACTCCCAAGTGCTTTACCTTCCCAAGTTCTCCATCATCTAGAAATGTTCTCTCAGATACTGCCTCAGAATGAGCACTGTGGCACACTTGCGAATTTTCTAGGGAACTGGAGTTAAAAAGGACTAAAAATATATAGTTTTTTTTAGCAAAGAAAAAGGAAAGCCTGGAGCCTTCACTAAAGGAGCATTGATTTTTAAAAGCATGTTTTACTTTTTGTACTTTTTAATTTTGTGGATTTGAATTTAGAAGAGGCATCACCTTAGTTTTGCCTCACGGTTCATGGCCTGGGTTCAGTTGAGGTTTGGAGTTTGCATGGTCATCCTAAGGCTTTGTAGGTTTCCTCTGAATATTCTGGTTTCCTCTCACCTTCCAAAGACAGTGTTTCCTGTATTGGATTGGCTTTATAATTTCAGAATAAGTTAAGAGGTAGCTGCAACCCTGTTGTAGAAAAAATGACTTTCATAATTGAAGGGTGAATGAGGATGGGTCTGTCCTCATTGAGCTCATAATGTCCTCTGTGTCTGACTTATACTTAGTGTTTCTTGCTAATATTTCTTGTTTAAGCCCGACCCTATTTTTCTTACTCATCAAGGTGCACATTTGTCTCTTCCCTGTGTTAGAAATTCACCGGGAGTTCCTTCACCGACCGGCTTCTGGATATGTGCCTGAAGAGATCTGGAAAAAAGCTGGTAAGAACTGCCTTTGGTAATTGTGTGTTCATTTGGTCAGACAGTGTGTTTTTTCAACAAAGAAATTAGGTTTTTGACATCACAGATATGCAACATATTTCTACATGCTTCTTAAAAGTATTTTATTGAATAATGGAGATGGAGATTATCCGTGTTCAGACTAAATGAAAGGGTAGCTTTTAGGAAGAGGTGTTAAAGAAAAAATGTAATTTGGGTGTACTGTACGTAGATGCTAAATATTATTTTATAGGTATAATGCTTTTACAGAAAAATAGAACACATTTTTAAATGCACTACAGACAGCTAGAGAAATCTTGCCCTTTTTACCTCCTTCTGTGACTGAAAACTGGTCGATGGCTGAGGAAAACTGTCTGTTATTACATGAAATTGGACACCGCAAGCATTACTCTTTGTACTACAGGTTTTACTTCAGTTCCATTCAGTGTTTCCTCCTCATATCAATTCACATTAAAAGCACATCTTCAGGAACACTTTGCCATTTCCCCAACACCGTGCTTGGCACAGCAGAATTTAGTCATACCGCATCCAAAATCCCTTTGTCTTTAATTTGGTAAGGTATTTAATTACTTAGCTCAGAACAACAGAAAGCATCCTTACTCTAAAACATCATATATTGTATTACACAATGGCAGCATTGTATTTCTGAAAAAGTTCCTGAAAGCCAGTGATACAATTGTACATACAGAGCACATGTAATATATGGCTGTTTTGTTTCTCTGACATGGTAAATTGCCATTTGGATATTGTAAGGAACTGCTGGGTTTTCTTCATCTTCTTTCCAGTCCATAAGGCATGCAATGTCTAAATAAGAAGCCAGGTTCACAAAAACATATTAAAATTTGTAATAATATAATAGTAATAAAGGCTGTTCATCACTTCATCTCCTCATTCACCATCTCCCTACCCTGAGTAACACCACTATGCTCTCGTGCTATTCTCTCTCTCTTTTTAAACAAACCATTCAACTGATTGCACTGACACTGGGTGCAACACAATGGATCACTTTAGTCTCCTTGCTAATCTCAAAATTCCTGGTGCTGCTCTTACCTGTTTTTTTTTCCCCCTCTCATCACTCGCAGGTGAGGCATGCTCATACCAGATCTTCTGGCAAGGATATGCTATCTGCCTCTCACTTTCTGTCTGCTGCATTTCCTCAGGGCTCCATCCTGGGCCTTACTGCGTTCTGTCTTTACACCCACTCCCTGGTCCTCCCATCTCTTCGCACTGCTTTTCATATTACGTTCATGGTGATTATGCTCAAATCCTCTGTTTCCCCCCCTTCTGCCTCAGATTTCTTCCCACATTTCTGCCTTCTTACAGCTATCTCCTCCTAGATCCATTCCCACCATTTTAAATTCAACTGCTGAAAGGGAGAGGAGGTCTTTTCCAGTTCTCCTAATCCCTCCACTCTCTTTCCCTCTTCCCCAGGCAAGATCCCTGGCATCACTTCCTCGCCTGTCTCCAACACATTTCTGCCTTCTCTTTCTTCTTTAGCAGCAGTGATAGAATCTACCTCTTCTCTACTATGTATTTTCACGAGGAATGACGGCAGCCGAAAGCTTGGGAGAAATTAGAATAGTTTATTGAGATGTGGAGATTTGGCGTAACCCGCTTGGCTGAGGGCCAACCTCCCGGCCGTTGGACGGGGAGGATAGGACCCCCATGCCACCAATGGGGCAGCTGCAAAGGTGGAGAGGGGGTGGAGGAGGGATGCAGAAAACGAACGAGGAAGAGGAGAGGGTGACGTTTGATATTTATGGAGACCGGTTGCTTACGTCAGGATTAGTGGGAATTGCGGCAGCTGTGTCGAATGAGCTCGGCTGCTTTCATTCCTCCCGAACTTTCATTAAAAACTTAATTAATGTGATTCTTAATCCAAGTGCTGGTGCTGTCCTACTTAGATACCTCTTGACCAGCCTCCATGCTAAAACTATTCAGTACACCCAGAATTCTGTACCTTGCCTTGTCTGTTTTTGTCACTTACACTGTTCTTTTGCTGTGCTTATTGTTGCCTGTATAAATCAGTGTTCCATTCAGAACTCTAGTCTGTTCCTACTGCTGTCTCAACTAGCCAGGTCATATCTTAATATTACTAACCATTATCATTGTTCCATTCCAAAGTATTCCAAAATGCTTTGCATATACCTTTAGGAGGGGAACCACCTCATCCATTACTTAAGCACTCCCCCCGGGTGACCCAAAGCAGCTTGTAGAACATGTACAGTACCAACATACTCATTACTAGCATATCGAGAGAGGGGAAAAACTACTTCAACTTAAGGAAACATTTTGGGCATTTTTACACTTTGCAAGCCCAGGAAGGAAATTAGCCAGGACAGTAAGGTTAGCATGCCTACTCTTAACAAGCAGTGCCACTGGATTTTAAATGAACAAGTGGTCAGGTTTAGTATCTCATCCAAAGAATGGGACAGCTCTTATGGTTATGTCCCTGATTACCACACTGGTTTGCACTGAGAACTGGTTTTGTAAATTGTAGTTCAGAGTAAAGTGTGCCACTCACACAGGTTTTCCTTAGAAGTCTATCATACAAGTACTGACAAGGTACTGAGGTCTAATGAGATCAGACAATAACATGGTTGTGCTGGTCCAATGAATGTCCTATTCATGCAAAATGGAGAAAAACCTTGACTTGGTTTTAGTTTCATAAAGGCAGTGATAAAATAAGTTTTAACATATCTGTCTTTGCTTTTTTTAATTAAAAAAATAGTAATTAAATTTATAGATTGGAGAATGTTTGCAGTTGGTAATAAATATTCAAGCCCCTTGCAAAATGTCCTACCAATTCTCTTTACTGATCTGCATGTGCCCTTGGGACCAGAATAGAAATGCATAATTTAAATATAAATTGCCTGATTTACATATACAATTAGTCAAGCTGCAGCTTTGATCGTAAGCAAAAAATTATTGTCCTGTGTTGCCACTTAGATGGAATTTTAATTCACCTTGAATATTCAAAGTAAATTCAATCTCAGTCGCACATTTCCACGATATAAAGTTCCTTTGGCAGAAATAAATTGATGAATTGTTGCTTTGATACATTTTTCTTTCAGAGACATTTTCATGGAAGAAAGGAAAACTGAAATACAAATCGCTGTTTAATGAATGTTTTACCCATATCCAGCATCAGGGCTTGTAGAGCCAATGTAACAGATAGAAGGAAGAAAGACACTATATTTCATATGCATTGATTTGCCTGTTTGGATGGCTATAACAAGGGTAGTTATTGATCTCCATTAATTTTTTTTCATTACAAATGCATGTTTTTAATTAAACAGAAAATTTAATTAAGATACTTTTTAAGTGGATTAAACAATTAAGTTCAAACACTTCAATGAAACATGCTGCAATTAGTTTTAATAGGGTGTTAATTGGTGCTGGATTTGCCAAGTTAATAATTACCGCTTATTTCGTTTTCAATTAATCATTGTCATTTTACTCTGAATAAAAGAGGAAATGATGATGGATAAACTAATTCAGGAGCAGAAGCTTTCCTCGTGCATATGAGCTGCTTGACTTCTGGAAACGGTCGTTTTTATTTGTCAGTATACAGAATAAACAATGGTTGAACTTTGAGTCTTGCAGATGCTTCTGATGTCCACAAGCCTGTTATGTTCTGCCAATGTAAGATCATGTGCTGATGTTTTGTTTGTATTTCAATAGATGCTAGATTTGCAAAAGCTTTATAAAATTGTTTTCTCTGAAGGAATGTACTGTGTATGCATCTACTTCTGCATCTTGTGTAATGATGATTAATATGACATCCAGTCACTTCAAATACAAGCTTAACCCATACCTTAACCCAGAGCAACATTAATTCAAAACAATTGCTGAAAAGTTCACATAGTGCAGAAAATACAGAGTTGTGTTAATGAGTTCAGCTTAAGTGCAGCAAGGTACAACAGTAATGGGCAAAAGATGGATATTTTGTAGGATCTCAACATAAAACATTCTTGCATCATAAAAGCTGAGTTTTGTGTTTTGTCACTGGTGATGTTTTGAGCTTGTGTTTAATAGTGCAGGGTCTTACTGTGCATGATGTTAAATGTGGTTCTCAAGGACTAGATATGATGCAAAATTGACTCGATGCGAATTTAAAAAAATGGAAGCTGAAACCCGCTAAATGAAATGCGAGTGCTCCTGGCGGCACTTCCTCGCCTCCCAGCGCTGTGAGCAGCCGTGTGAAGAGATGAGGTCTTCGGAGAGGCCCTTAAGGGTTTCGTTTTTCCGCCGGTTTTTTGCAGAAGAGGCGGTGAACGAGGTGAAGCGCCAGGCCATGTCGGAGCTCCAGAAGGCCGTGTCGGAGGCGGAGAGGAAGGCCCACGAGATGATCAGCTCGGAGAGAGCCAAGATGGAGCGCACGGTGGCGGAGGCCAAGCGGCAGGCCACGGAGGACGCCTTGTCCGTCATCAACCAGCAGGAGGACTCCAGCGAGGTGGGTGTCCCGGCGCTCACCGCACCTCGTCCGCTCTCCGTTTATCGCTCTTCCTCGGCCTCTTGAGTCACGCTCCTCCGAGCTTGAACTCGGAGTGATGGCTCTTTGAGCTTCCTGGCTTAGGTTTACGGCGGGACTCGCTTCTAAAAAGATCTTAGATCTTGGGTGGCGAAGACTCTTCTTAGAGGCTTTACCTAGAAGGCCTGTTACCACTAGAAGATGCTGCTTTGGCTTTTCATCACACGTCGGCAATGGTGGTGCTTCTAAAACATATTTACTATTTTCATTTCATTATTTTTAACATGGCTTGGCTCCGTTTGGATTGCAGATTCTCCCATTGTGAAGCTGGTAACAAAGTCTTTCCCCAGTTGGAATATTTTTCATCTGCTAAAGAGACAGTCTTTTCACTTAACAGTGACAAAAATGCATATTTCACCTCATTTAAACAGAGCTCTCTTGCATTCCATTAGAATAATTTGCACGCCGGAAATAATACATATTGCTTTGGTGAATAATTAGAATTTGGTCATGAGAAAATTAGTCAGATCAATCTTTTCGTTGCCACCAAGCAAAATTATTTTTAGTGAACAAGGTCCTAAACGTTTAACACCATCATACATACTCATTTAAAAATTGTTCATGCAATGTTAATTTTCTAAACGCATCAGTGGGAGACAAGGCATTTACCATCACTCGGTAATGGACTATTATGTACAATCCTTATGTTTAAAATAAATTGTGCATTAGAGTTGTTTTATCTTAGGATTTTTGCTTGTGCTATAGCTGAAATCCAACTAATATGCTGCATGCTGGCTAAGAGACAAACAGTCTTCATTTAATACCTTAAAGGACTGCAGTACATTATCTAATCCGTGTGTGCTGTGTAAATTTTATCATCTTTATACAGTCAAACTTCAACACCAATATGTGTGTGTGTATATAGATACTGTATATATGTGTTTTACCTTGTGCTTCTGAATAATATAATCGTGATTCTGCCATTTCTGAAAAGTAATTTTGCATTACTCACACAAGCACAGATGAGTCATGTAGTTTTTACTCAATTTGGAAAATCTGACTTTTATTTTGTGTAAGAGTTCTACTACAATGTTTGTAAAACACTTAAAATTATTGCCAGCTAGCCCATTTAAGAGCTCTGTTGAAAACGTCTTGTAAGTTTCAAAGCTGGGAAAGAAAAGGTAAAAAGAGAGAAAAACCTTAAGATCCCTTAAATGTCAAGTTTGACCAATTTTGTTGCATGAAAATAACTTTAAAACAGTGCATGAGAAGTTAAACCCTATGTGTCTAAAGACATTCAGCAGTAGGGAAACACATTCTACGAAGAAATCTTTCAGTGATGCTGGGGGCACATTTTCAGGCAAGGAATATACAGGACGATGCAAAAGTGCATTGTTTTAAAGTGAAGCTGCATGCTTGTTCTGGGTTTTCTTGTAAGTTGTATGAGTTTTGAGCTTTTTATTTTATTTTCACTTTTTTAAGTGAACATGAAAAAATTAACTTTTGGAAAGCAATTTATCTTATATTTGCCACACATTTGAGAATGTATATTTTGTTATACAATTTGTTTATGGTGTTCTCTTACCAATGAATTTAATGATTAAATATGTTGTAGTGTTGTACACTCCAAGTTGAAGTCTTGAAGTCTTTAAAGTTTAATGAATTTCATTCAGGAAAACAGTGAAACACCGAGCATCTTCATTTCGTTTCTCTTTATAAAATAATAATAGAAAATCCAGTCGCACAACATGATTGTTTGCACAGCTATTTATATATTGCCTCCAGTCGTTTTTAACCCCACATCATATGTAATGTGTATATAGCATGTGTTATGAGACATGAAATCCGTTACCACTAAAAGTTTATCCGCTGTTTTTTCCTTCTAGATTGCTCATTTAAGTTTGTAAAGGTGGTAGCAATTTCAAGGAAATGGGAAAATTGGGACAAAGGCATTCACTCATAATCATTCCCGCAAGCCTGTGTGTTTAATCAGTTTGCAGCAAATTCTACTTACATCTGACTTTAATCGCACAGAGGCATTGTTTATTTGACTGGTTTCTGGCCTTGCCATTTTGTTAAGTTTTTTAACATTCTGCAAGAACCTCAGACAGTGCTGCAGTAGCTGTAAGTGCTATTTTCTCTACTTCTTTTTAGGCTTTACATTTTCTGCCCCTTAGGCATATTGTAAGAAGGAAAGAAACGGTCAGACTTAAAATCAAACAGGTATCGGGGAACTCATTTGAAAAATTTTACAATTTTGGTTTTGTGCACTTTTATGCAGGTCTTTAATACCTGAAAAAGGTTAATGTGGACATTGTTTCAGACCCTGAGATGAATTTTAATGCATGCATATACAGTAGCCTCCTTAATTTATTATCCTAATTATATTTTATTTGAGTAAATTACGTTTAAAAACAGAAAAACGTGTTCACGTTTTTACATTCTTAGCATCAGCATCTGCGCATTATACACGACCATTGCTGCCAATCTGCCATGTAAGAAGAGAAAGGAATAAAAGGTTTTCTGAGGGAAATCAGAAATGTGTACAAAAAGAAATGAGAAAAATGTTGCTGTAAAATCAGGTTTTTATTAATGGCAGGACCTTTACTCCACAATTATTCTGGGTGATGAATGGAAATGTAAATCGTTGGCTATTTTATCATTATTGTTCCCTGCAATTGAGTTCTATCTTTTCCATTCCCCCCCCCCCGTGTCTCTGCAGAGTTGTTGGAACTGTGGGCGCAAAGCCAGCGAGACGTGTAGCGGCTGTAACACAGCCCGTTACTGTGGCTCCTTCTGTCAGCATAAAGACTGGGAAAAGCACCACCACGTGTGCGGACAGACGCTTCAGGCCCAACAGCAGGGAGACACGCCGGCAACCGTCAGCTCCTCTGCCACGCCGAGCAGCGGCGCAGGCAGTCCCGTGGACACCCCTCCAGTAGCCACGCCCCGGTCGACGACCCCAGGCACCCCCTCCGCCATAGAGGCCACCCCTCGCTAGGCAACCAGGCAGCCAACAAACTCGCAACAAAAACATTTCCTCATTTGCTCAAAGATGATAAACTCTAATACTACCAGAAAGAAAGAACTTGTCTTGAAGTAGTACTTATAAGCAGAAGGCCAATAACGGGTCATATTGACTTACCATTATTAAAGACACAAAGATATTCTTTGTTTTTTTTATTTTTTATTATTTTAATGATTGTTTCTTTTTTTGTTTTTTGTTTCATTTTCGTGTACATAGAAAAAGAAGAACTGAAAAGACAGCAGAGAATTACAGACAACTAGATTTGACCTCCTCCCCTCTGTTATTTTTCCAGTAGCTGGGATTTTAAACTAGATGACCTCATTAACAGATGCTTTACCAAACAGCAAACCAAGGGATTGCTAATTGCTGTTGAAAGCAAAAATGCTAATATTCAAATATAATAAAGGGACACATTGTTCTTTTGAACAATATGGAGAAAAAAAAAGAAGAAAGAAGGAAAAACCCCTCCAGGGCATGAACGTTGGATAGAGTGTAGACATTTTACTGGGAAGATGAATGGCGTCCGTGGGTTACTGACTGAACTTTGAAGACCCTCTGCGAAATGCACAGATGTGCGGCAGATTGGAAGGAAACACAGATGTTCGTCCTTTTTTTTTAACTTCTGAAAGAAATATAATAATATCCAGGTCAACGGATTGAAAAATGAAAGCTGTTTAGCGGCGGGATTTTTAAGAGGAGCAGAAGCAGCACAGGGGGAAAAAAATGCCATAATTAAAGTAAAAGAGGCTTTCTTTTCAACTGTATATCCATATATATATATAATAAAATAAGGAACACAGCCTGCAGTTGATTAGCATTTTCTCCAGCTTTCATGCCAGCCAGCTGCCCCTTTTCACTCCAGAGCTCTGCGTCACGATCACAGAGGCCCTCATGGCCAGACTATCAGGTTGGTTCCTGGTCATTTCGACAGCATCTGAATAAAAAGCAACATATGAGCAAAACAAAGGCAAAGTTAAAGTAAAACCACCTTGGCTACAGTTCTGGCTCTTTCATGTTTCCCCTGCCTTTCATGCCCTTTTTATTTTTAAGATTATTTTTTACTTTTGAAGTATTTCTCTTGGTGTAAAACACTCCTGTCCTGTGAAGTTCTCAATGGTGATTTCTTGTATATGTGTTGGACAAGTGTGAAGATGCATTGTAGTTTAACCTTACCCCACCTCTTTAGGCTCTATACCCCTTGTTGGTGCAAAACAAAAAAAAACTGTAACTTTCTAAGCTGCTTTTATATTTGTATGTACTAGTGATATTTCTCTCGTAGTTCCGGAAAAAAAAAAAGAAGAAAAACCAACTTTTTTTTTTGGTCGTCCTCATGAAAAGAAACAAGCTATCTCTCAGAGCTGCTACTTCACTCTGTTTGGATCTTTTCTGAGAACTAGCATGCTTCACGGAATGCTAACATAGATGTTTTGTACAAGGGATGTACATAAATGTATTTTGCACTGTAACAAAGACTCCCTGGGCATGCTTCTTTTGGCAAACTCTTTATTAAGTATTCTAGAGCCATTTTCACCGATTTTCTCTGTAGTTGTAGAGTAGCTGTGGATTTCATTTTTTTCAGCAAAAAGAAAATAAAAACTCACTATTGTTAGTGATGTTTTATAAACATGTAACAAGACTTCATGATTTCAAAAATGAAGGACAGTGCATGCCTATCACTGAAAGGTTAAGTATTGCTGTTTTTACAAAAAAAAGAAAAAAAGAAAAAAAAAGAAGAAACTAACGTTCCAAATGCAGAGGTGTAGATTGACAGCTTTAACACTGCTGAATGCCAGGTTAGACAGTATTACAAAAGAATATAACATGGAAGTCAGCCAAAGACAGATCCGAAGGACCAAAATCTGATTTTATTAAAGTTTTAAAAAATACACACAAAAGCACGAGATTTTTTTATTTGATTTGTTTCCGAAATGATCATCAGGTGAAGCCGTTTCAGCAATGTTTTCATAAAAAATAATTAACCCTTTACTGTCCAGAACCCAGACCAGAACTGCTCAACAGCTTGGATAGCAGTACCGACAAAAGTGCTGTGCACATTTCCAGCAGCCTTTCCACTCTTTTTAGAAATAGGAAGCATTCTAAAAATGAGCAATAATTTCTAACTTCTAACTGGTTATAAGCAACCAGTAAAAACCCTACACTAAAGGAATACCAAAACCCTCTAAAATAGTCAAATTTTCCTGATGTAAATTAGTTTTTTTTAGCAAAAATTTATTTTGGATTATGAATTTTGATCAATACAAATTTTGAGTACAGTACTTCATGGGAGTTAATTGGTTACTTTCAAATAACAATGGTGATATTGACTGGTTTAGTGTCGCCATGCTTTGAGACAAACCACAATTCCTGTATTGTAGTTGCACTGAACTATTAATTTTTGATAGATTTTTAATTTTCATGCATCTCCTACTTTCATTTTTAAATGCCAACAGAAGCTTCTTTTTTTCCTAGATGAATATAGTGATTAGAAGCTGGCTTTGTTTTCATCATCAACTCTAGTTTTTTAGCACAACTCAAAATGTATGTACAGTATATTGTGTGTAATCTTCCAAATGTAACATTTAAACAGTATGGCCTAATACTCAGGCGATATTTCCTGCTTTTATCCTCTAACGTGTGAATATTGACTTTTTTTAAAGACTGAAAATTTGATCGCAGTACCTAAGAAGAGGGAAATGAGCACTTAATTTGAAGCACACAGAAAGGTTTTCCTTATGGTCTCCTAAAAACCATGGTGCTAACAGACTAGTCTTTAACCTCACTGAAGTGGCCTGACGTTGGCTTTGGGCAGTCTGATTTGCGGGATCCTCTCACTTTCCTCCTTCCTGAGCCTATGTTCTAGACTGTAAAGGGTTAAGTAATCCAAAAAGGTGTCTGACACCCATTTATGTCTCAGAAGCTGTGATTTTATGTAAAACAGCAAAGCTGTTTTAACACTAGTGTATTGTATTTAAAAAGATTAGTGCATCATGTTACTTCATTTCAGGGCACCCTGGGTAAAATAAAAAAAAATAAAACTAAAACCTGATTTACTGAGCTCTATCTCCTCCTATCTTCTCCTCCTGTTTTGCTACAACCTCCTCAGTGGCAAAAAGTTTCACTCTACCTCTGACAGCATGTATAGTGCACCAGTAGTTAAACATACTGGTCTAGTCAAACCAAATGGGCACAAGAGAACAGGATACCAAAAGTAAAAGCTCATACAGCTGCAAAACCATATCACTACTTGGTAACAATGCAGACCTCATAAACCTAATGGAAAAAAAAAAACTTTTGTTACTTTCCTTTATGCCTGTCACTTATATACAGATCATGTGAAAAGTATAATTTGTAGGTATAACACATCAAAGAAATACAACAGTAATTTAAAAAAAGAAAATCAGCTCCATTTAATATAATCAAAACAGCGGTCGCTGATAAGAAATAGGGCGTCCTCTATCTCTCTCTCTCTCTCTCTCTTTCTCTCTCTTTATCTGTCGTGAGACGTGCTTGTGACAGGGCCGCCTGTCTATGTTGTTTAGGTGCATGTCATGGGGATTAATTTGTAAAAAAAAAGGACGTTATTTAAAATGAAAACCATAAAGGCTGGTTGTTTAAAGCATGCCTGTGTCTCAAATGCGTTGAAAGGGGGTGGGGGGTGGGGAGAGTGATGGCATTTTCCAGTTTGAGAAAAGAAAAATATATATACAGTACAAACAGAGACATATCTAGAAGGGATACAAGCTGGAGACTGTCGAAATGCAGACTGAAGAAAACGAGTCGGATTCTGAAAGTTTTATTGTGAAAAACGAAAAGGAATTGAAGTTGTTGTGCAATACTTAATTCAGACATGTACCACAAGTTAATGGTAGACTAACACTGGGGGGTCAGCACATCATGCTTTTGTCAGCATACTCTTGAGCTTTTAAGTCTACTATGTCGGAACTGTGGTTTCTTGTTTATTCTTTGATTTTTCTTTAGTTGGACTGTAATGTATGGTCTGTCAACCTGTGAATCTTTAAAGTATGATTCAGGTATTGTTGTACTCCTTACTGTGTAATAAATATGTTAATATCTGTATCCACTGAAACCTGTGTTTTGTTACCATGTTGCCCGGTGGACATCATTTCTAGAGCTGCTCTACTGGCTACTACATGCGATACGACGCGGATCATAACATTGAAAAATAACAACAGTCATTGTTTTCTCAAACACCGATGGCTGATATTTTTATGATCGCCTGCTGGCTGGCTAGTGCATTTCATCAAAAACATTAGATTTACATTAGTTCTTTGCCTTGATAAACCATCTCTTGCTGTTGACCCTGAACCTACTTTCAATAGTCTTTATAGTTGTTCCCATCTTCTCCACCAAAGTTATTTCTTACTTTTTTTTAATTGATAGAATTATGGCTAATGCTTTTTTTTATCCCAACTGTTTCAGAAAAATGCTTTATGATCCCTTATGCTTGATTAGTCAAAAGAAATCAGCCTGATATCTGTCAATTGGAGCACTAATGGTGGATAAGGCGACAAGAAAAATAATCTTCCAGTGTTCTGTGAATATCAGGGATGTTTTCAAGTGAAAGTACCACTGGAGTATTGTGTTTTTAATACGGCGTACCCCTTGCACACAAAATGTTAAAGAATGATAGCAAAACTATAATGAACAAGTCTGGAACATGTAACATGTAGTCAATATGTTCTTCAGTTTTGCGCTCTGGTCAGGGAACGTAGGACTTCTGATAAAGATAATGGAATAATTTCCAGTATTTTGTCCCTGTCAAACTGATATTTACATTTTCTAAATTGGTTTCATTTTATATTTCTCATACTATATGACATGGGTTTGGAGGATCACAAAAATTTCCACTGGTCAAGCCTCCTTTATAAAACCTACAAAAAAAAAGGCCTTTTGTGAGCCAAAACTACATGTCTACAGTAGAATCGCCAAAAAACACGAGGTGATCAAATGGGTGAGATGGAAAATGCAAAGAGGAAAACGGAGCCTGGAAAACTGAGAAAATTGATCATTTCAATGAACCACAAAGAAAAAAGAAATAAAATGAAATTAGGGTCTATGTAAGGCATTTCATAAAAGCTGAAAAGACGACATTTTCTATAAAGGCCTTTTTACTCTGAGTTCATCAGTGTAGCCTGTTGGAGGGTGATAAGAGAATTCCCATGTTAACTGTGTCTTACTGAACAAAAACACTAAGGGCAAAGACATTAGAGCTTTTGCAAAATATTTCAGCACAGAGGTAGCTGAATGACGAGGCTGACTTCATCGGGCCACCAGATCTTCACTCATATATTAACTGTTCATAAATAAAGGTTTAATTAAGCTTGAAGCTTTTGTTGCTCTAGGCTTATCTATTATGCCTGCTTATTCCCCTTCCTCTTTACATTAAAACTGAAATTTCTGTTTCAGCCTTGGATAGATAACATATTAACACAGCACAGCAGTGTAAAAAAAATCCTGTATGTATCATATGTGCATACCACACGTGCCACAAAGCATTTTTTTAACAGGTATTTAATTTTTTTGTTTTTTTCAAAAGTTGTCTGCAGTTTTAAACAATCTTCCAGCTATCAGTTTGCCATCTATAAAAAAAGGCGTGCAGCACCAGTGGTCCTTGAATATTATACCAGATGTGATTATTTACCACAGATGTGAAGTCTTTTCCTTCTGTGTTGATTACCCAAGAGTGCAGTTTAAAAAAGAAGTAATATATATCACATATTATTTATACACACAAAGTCCTGTGAAATAGTGATACCAATCAATTGAAACAAGAATCATACAACCCAAATCCCAGAAAACTAATAATGTAACTGCCCACAAATCTTTAGAGCTACCCTTGGAAAAAAACAACCAGATAAAAGACATTTAAGACTAGGCATATTTCATTCCATGTCGATCTTACAACAGAAGTAAAGGAACACATACGAAATAAGAATAATAGTTACATCACATACATCCTTGATTACGTTAATGTCTCCACACCACAAAAAAAGCAACACTTTTTCAAGGCAGCAACAAAAAATTACAGAAAAGTGTTCAATGTAAAACTTTGCTATGATAGGCTAGGATAGATAATGACAGGACCAGGAAATATAATGAACTACAAGCCTGAGATCACATTGATACACAGACAGTGTTCTGCATTCTGTATCCCATTTGATCATTCACAATTCATTTGATGTTTTTATTAAAGTCAAACATTTCTCAACAATTCCAGCAATCACCCCTTTTATTCTTTTATTCCAATGTCCCAGACAATCTGTGCATGAAAATGGGTGTATTCTACAGTGTAATGTTTAATATACTGGGAACTTTCATCACATCAACACAAGTTTAATGTGCAGGCACATCAAATCCCTTAAGGTTCTTAATTTGTTTTCAATTAAAACAAAAAAGTAACTTGGTTTTCAGATATTACCAGTGATTAGTAGACCAAAGACTCTCAATTACCGTAGATGCCAAGGAGGTGGGCACCATTTCCATCTTTATTGTATTACAGCACTGCAAACTAAATATGTTTTATTTTATGATAGCGTTAGAAGTTGCGTTGAGATTGATCAGTTAGCTTTAAGACAACAAATGCTGTAAATGTTTTCTGTGGTATGTGAAGTTCGTAAACATGCTTGTGAACAGAAAAGGTGATTTCCCGGTTTAGTGTCAGGAAGGAAATAGACTGGTTAGCGTTTTCTGCAAAATATTAATTTTCTAAAAAAATGTTTAAATGTTACTGAAATAGAACAAAGTGGAGGAATTTGGCAATGAGTGATTTGCAGCAAATGGAGCAGAGTATGCTGTCAATTGTAGGTGCACATATTCTGGACGTTTTTCACACATTCATCTAATTTTACCGTCTACTTTTCTTAGAATAATCATAATCTCCTTCCACAGTATTTTTTATAGTTTTCTCTTTCCATATTAGAAATATCTTTTCTTGTCCTGTTACGCGTCTCTCATAATTTTTATTAGGTTTAAGATCAGGTCACTGAGGAAGCCAGTGTACAGATACTGTATTTTTAAGAATCCATGTGCTTTTTTTAAAGTAAAAAATATAATATACAATAAAAATAATGAAAGATTAAGCCTTTATAGATATGTTGCCTTCCTAAGGGTATTGCCTGATTTGCTAACAAAGAAATCAGTGTTTTTTGCAAAGTCCAAACCTCCACCTTCATGGACTACTTAAAGAGACTGCAATCATTTCTAAAACTCACGTCCTATCATTCTGCCTTGTCTTAGAACCTTCTCCTTGACTCTCAGCCACAAATGTTTTTACAGCAACCCATTTTTCTGTTAATCACAGTTTGATCTCCTTGACACATTGGCTTTTTTTGTATGTATCCTCAAAGAAGTTCTCTCAGGTGAAAAGACAGATGGCAGATAACGGTCATTATGAACTATTTAACCTCATTTAGGTTAAGGTAGCTGACTTGCCAGTAACTAAGCCGGAGAGACAATTGTGAAAATTAGCTTGGAAAGACAATAGATTTCCTAAAACTAGTGGTGAATTTTTAAGGTGATTGTTTAAGTGAAAATTGTATTTTTTGTGTTGTACTTATTTACCATAACTGCATGTTTTTACCTCGTTTTTCAAATATTTCATTTTCATGGTTTCCATTAGGAATAAACATGGGTGATGAAGTGGCAATATAACCCCCAGCTTTGGAATATTTACCAACTCAGTGTTTTCTGTGATTTGTCCAATACATTAAACCACACTATGCCATTTCATTGTGTTTTTGGAACTGGTGGAGATTTTCCATCCTCAACATCCTCTTCTCTGTTCTGACATTCCATCTTTAAAACTGTCAAGAAGCTGATTAACCAGCGAACCAGCTGATTAAACTGGACAGTCCTCCATTTCTGATTAATCTTCTGCTTCAGGTAGTTCAGATCCTGAAAGCTGGCTGGAACCTTTGGATCGAGAGATAAATGAGTATTCCATCAGATAAGGATAGAGATTAGGCTTTTTGGGGAGAAAATTATGCCAGTAAAACTTATTGACTAAAACTTAATATAAATAATATTTTTTTCACTAGTCTGTGGTTTATATATTGGGTTTCAGTAAAACTCCAAAATTTAATCCCCAAATTAAAGATTTGCAGTGTACAATATACAGTACAGCATCAATAATTTTAAAGAGGCTGTTATCCTGCAAACATAAAATAATTTCCTCAGAGTTGTTATGGCAAGTGTTACATTAAATATAAATAGCTTTGCTTAATTTTAACATTGACTTTTTCCGTTTTTGCAGAAAAGGGGTTATATTTATACATCTGTTATACAACACTTTCCTTATCACTGCTCTAAGGCAACTAGCAGGTTGTTTCTGTTTGTTACAATACCAATGTTTTAAGTGAGATTTTAATGACCAGATACTATACTTTTGTCAGTAGAATGAGACAACATTAAATTAGTGAAGGATGGAGACCTATAATTACGATTCGAGCTATGAAATGCCTGGTCCTACACATTTCTTAGAAGGAAAACATTTTAACATTTGTTAACATTTGTTGTATTTTGGCTAGTGGTTTATTTGTTTTTGTTCAATTGCTGTATAATCTTCTAGAGAGCATCGTATTACTCATAACATTTTCAATTCTCAGTCACGATTTTGTTCTATCTAGTGATGGATCTCCTTTGATCAGTGACCTTTATGTCTTGTGATTTTTAATGTTTGTGTTTGAAGGAAAGCATTAGTGTCATTTGCAGTGCTTTCGCTATTACGGTCAGAAGGATAAAAGACAACTGCCACTGGATCCTTTATATAAGAATGGAGTACTGCACTTGGGTCATGCTGTAGTTTTGCTTAGTTGTGAATCTTGCTGTTCTATAAAACAATCCAGGTAGTTAATGGGCTTTGATCAAAATGGACAAGTTCACATCTAGGTGTGTAGATGTAATACACTGCAGTCATCTTTTGCAGTATTAAGTACTTTAATGTTTGAAGCTGACATGAAAGGAAAAAGACTGAAATAAACTGAGAACTACTGTAAAATTATTTCCTCTGAATATCACCCAGAACATATTGTTAATGATCTTTATGTATCCCTATGCAG